ATATTTTAGTTACCGCATAGTCGTCCATAGAGATCACCTGTAATATTTTTAAATTGAACTATATTAATAATTACGAACTTTTAGAAAAAGCTTTACTTGAAACGCTCATATTTATCTTTCAATTCGTTTTCTGCACCCGAAGAATTTACTTGAACATATTCTTTCTCTTTCCTTACTTCAATCATATTTATACGTTATAATTAAAGTGCGTCGACTCCTTCGTTAATCACCAAATCCCCTAAAATTTGTTTGATTTAAAACACAAACAGTGTGAAAGTTACCTTTATCAATTGAGGCCAATTTGGTTGCGGTTGATGTCTAAGAATGTTCAATTCCAAAATCACGGCTCGATTTTCAGGCAACTTTGATATGTAAACGTCGGAATCAATGGAACCTGCTAAATTTGGCGCGCATATTAACAGCCAAGGGGAAAGGCCACGACATGGCTGTAAAATTGCTAAATTTTCCAGTCCAACACGGAACGTCTGCAATAAGAATGGAATCAATTCCGAAAGACCAGTGTATACTGTAAGAAAATTTGAAGTGAAAACTAACAATACAACTGTCGATCGTTATTTTCTCATAATTACACCTTATTTTTTTTTAACACTAGGTTTACGGATATTTCTTATTACCTATCTCAGAGCTGTGTAACTTCTTGCTCACAAACAAATTTCCCCTCCCGAGGTAGCCCCACTATGCGACTGAGATGATCTCGCTGGAGTTACGGCACAGCGAGAGGACGCGAGAAGGAGTCCTCCCAACGCAAATCCAGCGACTGCCCTTTGTTTATGTTACACATTCTGCGTATTTGTACCAGTCATTTCGTACTAAAAAATTATCTCTGGAGTTGTGGTGGGAGGACTTCTTCTCGCGTCTTCTCGCTGCACCGTAACTCGAGCGAGATCATCTCGGAGGGGAAACTTACTCGTGAGCAAGAAGTTACGCAGCTCTGACCTATCTCTACGCGTCAAATTGACGCGTGAATGAAACCGCAGGTTTTCTTTAGAAAACAACATTTTATTTTAAAACAACATATTATACACTATTAACTTATAAATGAAACTACGTGATATTCTATGTTTATATAAAATTTATAATAAGCATAAGTGGTATGAGAGAAATACATATAAATGGTTTCTGTAATTTTCCTTGTGAAATTCGAAATGCGTCAAAATGACGCGTCCCGTAAACCTAGTGTTGATGTCGTTATCTTTTTAAATTACAAATGGCGTTTCATTTGATATCATTTTGTACCTGGTACAATTCCCGAAGAGGTGTGCCTCTCAGTAACAAGCATATCAGTAACTCGTTACATTTCGTGTGCATGTCCCTGATAGCAGTGGGTAATTTGTTTAACTTCGTTCCAATTATCTCATTGGCGCTAACGCAAACGTCCAACGCAAGGTATCCGGTACAGCAGAGAACGTTGAAGGCGTCTGTCCAGAATTGTTCAGATCGTGCCAAACTGGGTCGGCCCTATTTGCAGTCCGTATTTAATTTTTTTAATTTATTGTCACATATGCACAAGGTGTTTCATGATTAATGTAAGTAACTGTTAATAAGTAATATAGGATGAGAGATATTCTTACGTGAATAAATCGTGTTACAATAATAGAGAGGGATTCGTTCAACATTCCAGAAAGAATGCGTTGGGCCAATTTTGGAGATACTGTATTCCACAAATCTGCTTTTGTCCCTAAAAAAAAAAAAAAAAAAAAAAAAAAAACAAGGCAAGAATGAAAGACACTGCGCCATTCTTTGTGAATAAAAATGTCGACTTCGTTCATAATTACCTTGCATATACAGCCACCACATCTGTATCACGAAAGAGCAACGCTCTCGTTCGAAAAATGGTTTAGTATCGTGCCAACTAAACGAGTCAGCTTCGTTTAGTACGTACAATGAAATTAAACGGCAATGCAAATCTAATAGTCGTTCCGCTACAGCCTCGACCATTTCATGGTAAGATTTATACGATTTGTTTAACTTCTCGCTATCAGAGAGAAATTTAGAAAAATATTAGAATTTGTCGTTTATCATTTACTGTCTATTAAACTTATTACATGATAAAAACAAAGAAGGTGTTGAAAGAATAATGTAACAAATGAACGCACTTTCTCACTGTACGTGAATTTATTGAAAAAATTGCGGAATTAATATGTTTAAAAATTGCAAGGAAAATGAATCTAATCGGGTACTTTTGCACGCCGCCGTTCAACCGCCGCCATTTTGGTACCGATTCTACTTTTTCCTAAGGATGAAGAAAGGTCGTATAATCGTAAGTCCGAAAATTCTTCCTTTCCGAGATATAGACACTTTTCGAGTATGATGAAGTATTGCAGAAATGTTTAAAACTTAATTAAAGAAATTGCTGAAAATGATTTACTTCTGCAATAATACATGCTTCGCATCAATGTTTCAAAAACTGTCGAAGACGTTCAAAAATTCCTGGTGTATTTCGAATTCTTTCACACGCAGCAATAATCCGGCTTTGAGTTATTTCGAAGTGTAGAAATTCGGAATAGGGAGTTTTTGAACGTCTTCGAAAATCTTTGAAAGGGTTACCGACACTGAAAAAGGGTTAATTAAAAATTATCCATTTTTATAAAAGTTGCACGGAATAAGAAAAGAAATTATTTTATTTATTCAAGAAAAAAGT